ACATCCTTGCCAACACTTGTTATTGTCTTTTTGTTTATGGCAATCATAAAGCCTGTGAAGTAGTATCTCCTTGTGGTTTTAACTTGTATTTCCCTGATGGCCAATGATATTAAACATCTTTTCATGTGCCTGCTGGCCATTTGTACAGTTTCTCTGGAGAAATGTCTATTCAGAGAATTTGTCCATTGTTTAATCAGGGTGTCTTTTTATTATTGAAATGTAAGAGCTCTTTATATATTCTAGATACAAATCCCTTATCAATTAGGTGATTTGCAAAAATTTTCTCCCATTCTGTGGGTTGTCTCTTCACTTGGTATTCTTTTAAGACAGAACTTTGAAGTTTGATGATGTCCACTTTATATTTTATGTTGCTTGTACTTTTGGTATCATGTCTAAGAAACCTAATTCATGGTCATGAAGACTTACTCCTTTGCTTTCTCCTAAAAGTTTTACAGTTTTTACTCTTACATTTAGATAATCCATTTTGAGTTAACTTTTATATATAGTATAAAGTAGGGGGTCCAACTTATTGTCCTGCTTGTAGATATCCAGTTGTCCCAGCTCCATTTGTTGAAATATCTATTATTTCCCCATTGAATTTTCTTGGCATCCTTGTCAAAATCCAATTGAACATAATTGTGAGAGTTATTACTGGACAATTCAATTCTGATCCATTGAGGGAGATAATACTTTATACAGGATGGTAAAGAAAGGTCTCTCTGAGGTTACATTTAAGCAGAATCCTGAATGTAGTGAGGAAGTCAAGCATACTGATATCTGGGGTAAAGGTATCCCAGGTAATGGAAATGGTAAGTGCAAAGACCCTGAAGTGGGAGTGTGCCTGGCATGTTTGAAGAACCGTAAGAAGGCCAGTATAGCTGGAGTGAAGTGAGCAAGGATAGGAGATGAGGTCAAAGAGATAGGAGAGGAGAGTTGATAGCCCATGTAGAGCCACAACAAGGACTTTGCCTTCTACTCTGAGAGAATGGAAAGCCACTGGAGGCTTTTGAGTAGAGAAGTCATGTTTCGACTTACTTTTTAAAAGATTTACTCTGGCTGCTGTTTGAAGAATAGACGACACAGGAGAAAGATGATAAGAGAGAATATTTGGAAGGATATTACAGTAATCAAGATAAGAGATGAGAGGGCCAGCTCCATGGCTCACTCAGGATAGTGCGGCACGGGGAGCGCCACGGCTGCGGGTTTGGATCCTATATAGGGATGGTCGGTGCGCTCACTGGCTGAGTGCAGTGTGAGCAACACCAAGCCAAGGGTTGCGATCCCCTTACTGGTCACAAAAAAAAAAAAAAAAAAAAAAAAAAAAAAAAAAAAAAAAAAAAAAAAGATAAGAGATGACAAAGTATGGTGTGAGGGGTGGAGGTGGTCAGAAATGGTAGGATGATGGATAGTTTTTCAAGGTATGGATGTGAGAAAAAGAAGAGTCAAGGGTAACAGTTTTTTGGTGAGAGCAACTTAAAGGATGTTGTTGCTATTTATTAGTATGTGGAGGACCGCAGGAGGAGGAGGTTTGGAGGTCTGTGTGGGAGAAGGAGTAGTTCAATTTTAGGCATGTTTAGTGTGAGGAGTGAATTTCAGAATGAAATATGAACAATTTGACGTAAAGACCTTTAATTGGGAGATATGTATTAGATGTCAGTGTTAAGGCCTTGAGAGTGAACAAGATCACCTAGTAAGTTAATTTCAATACAGAAGAGAAGAGGCCCTAGGACTGAGCTGTGGCACACTCTAATGAGGTTGGCTAGGTAAAAAGGAACTCGCAAAAGTGACTGAAAAAATTCTGGTGTCTTCAAAATCAAGTGAAAAGAGTATTTCAGAAAGAAATGAAGGACTGTGTCAATTGCTGTTGCTAAGTTGAGGACCAAGAACTAACTTTTGGGTTTGGCAATATAGACATATTTGGTGCCTTGACAAGACTCTTTGGAACGATGGGGAAAAGACTTTAATAGGTTCAAAGACAATGATAAGAAAGGAGGTAGAGACAGAGTACAAGACAACTCTTTAAGGAGTTTCATTACGATGGAGGCAGCAGAGAGAAATGTAGTTATAGCTGGAAGTTGTTGTTTTTTTTTTTTTTTTTTTTTTTGGTAGGTTTGTTTTTAATTGATGGAGATTTTAAAACAATTTTGTATTCTAATGTCAGTGATCCAAAAAAATAGAAACTGTAAAATGAGGAAAAAGGAGACAATTACTGGAGTGATGTCCCTGAGAAGGCAAGAAAAGATGAGATCTAGTGCACAATAGAGGGAATGGCCTTGGACAGGAGCAAAGATAGTTCTTTCATAGTAACAAACGGAGGGCAGAATATGTGGGTGCACATGCAGGTAGGATAGTACATATGGTGGAAGAATGTTTAACATTCTTTTAAAATTGCTTCTGTTTCCTCTAAAGAGAATGCATAATTGTGGTCAATGGCATGTGAGGACAGAGATGGGACATATTAGAAGTGTACTAATAGTTTGACTTCATTAAATTTACATTTTATAGTTAAAACAGATAATAGACAAGCAAATGAATAATTACAAATTTTGTTCAGTGCTATAGAAAGAAACAAACAAGGTATTGTGATAGTGGATAAAGAGATTATTAATCATTTAAGGTGAACTTTCTGAAGATGTAAAACTTAAGTTACATTAATCTTTTAAAAATGTTGAGAAATTTTAAAAGAATAATAAAGCATAGGAATAATATAAAAAATAACATCTATATTCCTAAGACCCAGATGTTAATGTTGCTATTTTTGCAATCCTATTTTAAATTAAAACAAATAACAGTGTCTAATAGTTTTTTAGTAAGTACTCATCAAATCAATGTGTACTTAATGAATGAATTCTAACAAATGTTAAGGAACAACCTAGCTTGCTCAGCAAGAGCTTTTTTTTTTTTTTTTTCATTTGTAGGAGCTTAGGCAGTAAAAATGTAAAACATAGAACTTTGAACTCTCAAAATTTAGACTGAAAAGGAACCTTAGTTTTATTGCTAACCTAAAGCATGAATCTCCTTTGTAACAACCAGCTGCTTGTTTTTAAAAAAACATCAGTGGTAAAAAAAAAAAACATCAGTGGTAGGAATCTCTGCAAGAGTCTATCTCATTTTCAGATAACTGTTACAATAATATTCTTCATACTGAGCTACTATTTGCTCTTTTAGTTTTCCATCCACAGATCTAAGTTCTCTGCTTTATATGTAGTCAAAAAGACAAATCAAATGTATTTCCTGCCCCACTGTGGTCCTTTAAATATTTGAAAACAGCTTGCCAGCTTTCTGAATCTTTTCTTTATACTAAAAAACTCTTATACTTTTTCTTATTTCACATATGAAATTTTTCTTCTGAGACTCTCCTCTATTCTAGTTGTTGTCCTTTGGATATACAGTTGTCTTTTAAAAGTGTGGTGTGCAGAACCAAATACAGTATTTTAGGTATAATCTTATGATTACTCCCTCTTTTCTTCAGTCGAAGTCTAAACTTTCTGTAAATCTCCTTACACAACTGAGTTTACAGCTGTCTAGAACGTTTTAGTCATTTACATATAAGCTATTAAACCACATCATTCTTAGGCTCTTTTATAGTTTGGGTCCAGCAGCTGAGCTAATTCCAGCTCCAACAGTGCACATTAACGTTATTGCAGTTAAAATGTTAGTCTGTGTATCTTGAGATTGCATGGGCGGGTCTGCCGTGAGGTAAGCCACTGCCTGTCCTTGCCTCCTGTTTCTGGCATCTTATGCTCTTAGCTGAGTATTCCACAGGTTCTGAAGCATTTACTTTGAAAAAATGAGAGTGTTCAAATACAGCCCCCTATCATGTCCAAGGAAAGCAACAGGCATGTAAATTATCCACTCCTGACCTGGGGAAGTAGTGACAAAAAAATAAATAGTAACAATTCAGGACTCTTTCGATGCCCTGTAATTGGAATGAGTCCAGTTTAAATGCTTTAATGAGGACTCATTAATTTGAGAGGGCCTTATACAACCAACTTATCAACTTTTTCTGTTTAATTTAATCTTGCTAAGATTTGGCCTGCTCTACAGTCTTCTAAGTTATTTCTGAGTCCTTGCATTTCCCCCAACAGTTAACAATTCTCCTAATTTAATTTAACCCACAAATATGCATATTTGCTGTGTCTTCATCTCATTAATAAATATAATTAACAAGGTTAGTTCTCAGCAGAATTCTGTGACACACCACTAAAGTCTTCCCTCAGGTTTGACACTAATCCATTAATTGGCTCTTCTGGCCTATAGTCATTTAATTGTTTATGATTTCATTTAATTACAGCATTTTCTAGCCCACTTTTATCAGACTTTTCTGAACTAGTATTAGAGCATACTGGGATCAATGCTTTCTGTTTGACTTTCTACTCTAGAATTTTTCTTGAGCTTGAAATAGTAACCTTACCAAAAATTAAAACATTGGATACGAGAACTGATTTTTAAATTTTTAATGTCTTGCTGGTTTATCTTAATAGAATCTATCATCGAGGAAAATTGCTGAATGTATTCTATGTGAAAAGAGGTACGGTTTTCAAATATCTTTTAATTTATTTAATTTATAAACCATGTGGTTGGTATTTCAATCTTGGGAACTTGAAATTTCACATACTTCATTTCGTGGAAATTATTATTCAACTCCAGTGTTATTACTATCCTCAATAAGATATTTTAGTATGTTCATACAACCCATGCCCAACATACTGGTGATCTTTTAGACAGGAGAAACACACTAAAATAAAAATACTTACTACAGAAGTAGGCTGCTCTGAAAAACAGATATGACAATTTTAGTTATTGTGGTAAAAATTAAAACAGCAACATTGTAATACACAAGTTGTATTCATGGCAATTTACTGAACAAGGTTAACAGTCTACCCTCACATATGCCAAAAACAACAATAAGAACAGCAACAACAACCAAAAAGGAAACATTAGAAGCACACTGAAAAATAAGGATATTAGATAAACAGAAGACAATTTTAAATCCTTACCTCCTCACAGCATTGCCTGCTTACAATAGCCCTACAGTCAATCCTATACCAGAGCTGGTCCCTTAACTTTAAGAAATTAGGGAAAAGTTTTCTCCAGTTTTTCCCTAAAGCCCAGGGAAAAATTTCATGCTTGGATTCTTCGTCTTCTTCTTCAACTGTATTAGCGAGGTACCTAACAAAGAAGACCAACAACCCAAAAAAGAAATGGGTAAAGGATAGGAACAGTTCCCAAAGAAATACAAATGACTTATAAACAAATAAAAGATGTTCAACTTTCTCACAATTAAAGAAATGCAGATCAAAAATAGATATAGAGTGAATTTTACCTTGAGGAGTTCTCGATATTTTGTATTCCTATAAATCTTGAGCTTTGTTCTGGGATGTAGTTAAATAACTTGGAAACAGTCGAATTCTTTCAGGTACTGGTTGGTGGATCTGGAGCAATGATCAGTCTGGGACTAATTATTCCCCGCTACTGAGGCAAGACCTTCCTGAAGACTGTTTTCAATACTCCACGAATTATGAGTACTTTTTAGTCTGGCTAGTGGAAACAGGCACTATTTCTAGCCCTATGTCAGTGTTAGGCACTATTCCCCTAATCCTTTCTTTCTAGAATCAGGTAGTTTCCTTATACACATATGGAAATCAGCTTTCTTTTTTTTTTTTTTTTTTTTTCTTTTTG